AGCGCTTGGAACTTCTCTATTCTTTCACAGTGGTTGTTTTGTATATATATATATATAATATATATATATATATATATATATATATATAATATATATATATATAAAGTGTAGAGGAGAGAGAGAGATTTTGGGAAATGTTGAGTGAAAAGCGTGGGGAGTTTTGAATCAAGTGTGAGAGTAATGGTGGTTGGGGATTTCAATGCTAAAGTGGGTAAAAATGTTATGGAGGGAGTAGTAGGTAAATTTGGGGTGCCAGGGGTAAATGTAAAATGGGGACCTTTTAAATTTGAGCTATGTGTAAAAAGAAATTTGGAAATAAGTAATAAAATTTTTTATAAAAAAGAGGATAAAAAAATACAAGGAATGTAGCAGAATAAAAGGTTTTTTAGATTATGTTTTGGGTGGATAAAATTGGGGAGGCCCAGGATGTCATTTTTTTATAGAGGGGCAATGAATATTCGGATCATTTTTTAGTTGTACTACAGTTAGAGTAAGAGGTAATGGAAAAAGGAAGGTGGCAACACAAAAAAAGGGGGGGTAAATTTGTATAAACAAGGGGAGGGGGGAAGTTCGGGTGAGATTAACGCTTTGGCAAAAGGTGGGAAGTGCAAAAAGTAAGGGGGGGGGTTGAAGGGGGTTGGGAATGTTTTAAAAATGAAAGTATTAAATGTGGGAAAATTTTGTGGTTATAGGAGGGGGGGCAGGAAAGAGGAGGGATGGTGGAATATAAGTAAGGGTTGTGATAAAAGAGAAAAAGGTAGCTTATGAGGGGTTTTACAAAGCGAAGTGTTATAAGAAACAGAATAATGGAGAGTAAGAGAAAGGTAAAGAGAGGGTGGAGAGTGAAAAAGGGAAGCAAAGAAAAGAGGGGGGAGGACTGTCAAGAAATTTTAATGAAAAAAAGAAAAAAATTTGGATGATTAAACATTAAGAAAGCCCGGGGGAAAAAATGGATTTGTATTTAAAAAAAAAGTAGGGGAGTTTGAGATGGGGAATGGAGGTATTAGGTAATGGCGAGAATATTTTTGGGGAAATTTTTAAATGTAAGGAAGAAAAAAGGGCAGTAATTTTTGCACTGGCGGGGGGTATACCCTCTTTTAGGGGTGAGAAGAGCAGAAAAGTAAGGGGGGGGAGGTACGTGAGGGTTACGTAAAATGAAAGGGGGTAAAACAGTGGTACGAGGGATCAACAAAATTTAAAAGCGGGGGGGATATAGTGTTGGGGTGGTTGGTACTTTTGTTCAATAAAAATATGAAAGAGGGAAAAGGGACCTAGGGGTTGGCGGGAGATGTATTCCCTTTTTTAAAAAAAAGGGAAAAGGGGGCAAAAAGACTGTAAAAATTTTAGAGAATAACTTTTCAAATATACCGAAAAGTGTAACGTAGGGGGTTTTAATTTTAAAGAAATTAGAGGAAACAGAAATTTGGGTTGCGGATGACAAGGAGGTTTCAGGTGGGGAGGGGATGGGGTTTAACAAGTGTTTTTTATTGAAGCATTATTTTGGGAAAAGTATTTAGATAAAGGTAGGGAAGTTTTTTTTGCATTTATGGATTAGAAAAGGCAATGATAGAGTGGATAGAGGAGCAATGTGGCAGATGTTGCAAGTATATGGAATAGGTGGTAAGTTATTAAATGCTGTAAAGAGTTTTTATGAAGATAGTGAGGCTCAGGTTAGGGTGTGTAGAAGAGGGGGAGACTAATTTCCCGGTAAAAGTAGGCCCTTAGACAGGGATGTGTAATTTTCACCATGGTTTTTTAAATATATTTAAAAGATGGGTTTTTAAAAGGAAGTAAAAATGCTAGGGTGTTTGGGAAGGGGTGGGATTAAATTAGGGGGAATCAAATTCAAAATGGGAATTGACACAGTTACTTTTTGCTGATGATACTGTGCTTATGGGGGATTCTAAAGAAAAATTGCCCAAAAGGTTAGTGGATGAGTTTGGGAATGTGTTTTAAAGGTAGAAAGTTGAAAGTGAACATAGAAAAGAGTAAGGTGATGAGGGTGTCAAATGATTTAAAATAAAGAAAAATTGGATATCAAATTGGGAGGAGGAGTATGGAAGAAGTGAATGTTTTTAGATACTTGGGAGTTGACGTGTCGGCGGATGGATTTATGAAGGAAGAGGTTAATCATAGAATTGATGAGGGAAAAAAGGTGAGTGGTTCGTTGAGGTATATGTGAGTCAAAAAACGTTATCTATGGAGGCAAAGAAGGAATGTAATGAAAGTATAGTAGTACCCCCAACACTCTTATATGGGTGTGAAGCTTGGGGGGGGTAAATGCAGCCAGCGAGGAGACGGGTTTGGGGGCATGGAGATGTCCTGTTTAAGGGCAATGTGTGGTGTAAATATTATGCAGAAAATTCGGAGTGTGGAAATTAGGAGAAGGTGTGGAGTTAATAAAAGTATTAGTCAGAGGGCAGAAGAGGGGTTGTTGAGGTGGTTTTGGTCATTTAGAGAGAATGGTTTCAAAGTAGAATGACATGGAAAGCATATAAATCTATGGGGGAAAGGGAAAGGCGGGGTAGGGGTCGTCCTCGAAAGGGTTGGAGAGAGGGGGTAAAGGAGGTTTTGTGGGTAAGGGGCTTGGACTTCCAGCAAGCGTGCGTGAGCGTGTTAGGAGTGAATGGAGACGAATGGTACTTGGGACCTGACGACTTTTGGAGTGTGAGCAGGGTAATATTTAGTGAAGGGATTCAGGGAAAACCGGGTATTTTCATATAGTGGGACTTGAGTCCTGGAAATGGGAAGTACAATGCCTGCACTTTTTAAAAGGGGGGGTTTGGGTATTGGCAGTTTGGAGGGATATTTGTGTATCTTTATATGTGTATGCTTCTAGACTGTTGTATTCTGAGCACCTCTGCAAAACAGTGATAATGTGCGAGTGTGGTGAAAGTGTTGAATGATGATGAAAGTATTTTTCTTTTTGGGGATTTTCTTTCTTTTTTGGGTCACCCTGCCTCGGTGGGGACGGCCGACTTTTTGAAAAAAAAAAAAAAAAAAAAAAAAAAATAAAATATATATATATATATATATAAATATATATATAATTTTTATATATATATTAAATATATATAAATATATATATAATATATTTTATTTTAAAATATATATAATAAATATATATAATAATTTTAAAATATATAATTTTATATATATAAAAAATATTATATATATAATATATATATATTAATATATTTTAAAAATATATATATATATATATAAATATATATATAAATAATATATATATATAAATAATATAAATATAAATAATAATATATAAAATTATATAAATTAAAAAATATATATATATAATAATTTTAATAAAATATAATTTTTATATAATATAATATATATATATATATATAATATAATATATATATATAAAACGTGCCCAATAGGCAAACTTGCGATTTTTTTAAAAAACAAAGTTTTAACTTCCCTATAGGAACCCAACCGGGAAAAAATTTTTGTATGCAAAAAATTTCGCCAAAATCATCGAACCTAACGAAAAAAATATATTTTCCCCTGTGTTAGGGTTTTTATTAAAAATTTTTGTAAACAAATCTAAAAAAAAATATTTAGTTGGGGAAAGGGTAAAAAAAATTGTTCTTGTTTTTAAAAGGGTTTGGTAAGTTTTCAAAAATTCTTTTGGGGCAAAATTTAAAAAATTTTTTCATTTTAAAATTAAAAGAAAAAAAAAAATCTTTAAAATTTTAAGAGAAAATTTTTTGAAAAAGGGCTTAAATTTTTAAAAGAATTTTTTGGGAAAATTGGGCCAGTTTTTTACATAATTTGGCACGACATATAAAATAATATAAAAATTTTTTATTAAAATAAATATAATATATATATATTTATAAAATAAAATTTTATATATATATATAAAATTGTTATAAATTTTAAAAACAACACACACACTCTTCCACACACACTAGTTAATGGTCCAAGTTGGGCCATTAAAATATTGTGTGGTTTATTATTAAAAGAAACCAGGTTTTGGGCCCCTTAAAAAAGTGGGTTTTGACTATTTAATGATTCCCCAAATCGGACCGAAACTTCGTCACAATTTGTTTCTCCTAAGTGTGCTAAAAAGCCCCTTTTTGTCCCCAGGGGGGCGAAGTATAATTTGCATAAGGAAAATGTGGGAGGCAAAAGCAGCTTTAATTTAGAACATGAAAACCGAAGAGACTCAGTGATGCTGATCAAATAATCCGGGAAAACGGGCCCAGAGTTTAATATCCCTCCCCCCCCCCCCTCCCCCCTCCCCCCCCTTTCCCTAAAAACAACTTTGGGGAGTACAACTCGTAAGAGTCACTTTGTGGGGTACTTTTTACCACCACGGTAGGGGGCGAAATTTGGGGGCCCTCTTACTTTTTATACGAAGGGTTTGCTAAAGAAAACCCCGCATCCCATGGGAACATTGGAAAGGGCTATTTCCCATTTCGGGCTAAAAATTTTCCCACTTTTCCGTTAAAACAAAAAGAAATTTTTGGATATTTTTTTACTGAATATGAAAGTATTTTTTTTAAAAAATTTCTTGCTTTTAAAAAGATTATGATTTTACTTAATATAAAAAATGAATTGGGCACGACTTAACAACTTTTTAACGATAAGGGAAATTTGATGTTAAAAAACTATAAATTTAAAGCACTTAATTTCCCCTGGCAAATAAGGGGTTGAAATAAATTTAGAAATAAATAAAATTAAAAATACTTTTTTCTTTTTTAAAAAAATAAAAAAAACGTAAATAAACAAAATGCCCCACACAAATTTTTGCTACCACAGCTTCCAAACAGCAAATTTTTGGGGAAACAAAACCTCAATTTCCCCAGTCACCCACTACTTTCCCTTTACCACAATCTATTAAATTTTCAAAAAAATTGCAAAAAACCTAAAATTTCCCTTTTCAACAACCTATATTTACTCTATTATCATATACACAATCACATATGATAATACATCAGTACATCCATTTTTTTTAAGTTTAATCTGAGATAAGTTATTGTAATTATGATAGGAAATCTCAGGGCAGCCACGAGCAGCACTCCAAGCAGTCCTTCCTTCCAGCCTCACCTCCAACTTTACGTAGCGTCGACGTATAAGGCAACACTTGGTAAGTTGTTTATTTATTGAGGTATTGCATATACTTAGGAAATCAAGAACTCTAGAGTATAGAATTATTTCCCAGTGTTTTAGTGCTGTGAGCCATAGGCGGTGATTACTTTTTGCGGCCCTGTGTAGGATGTGTATATGGTTGGGCATGTTGGGGTTGAGTCCCGTTGAGTACGGGTTTCAAATTATATAAATGTGTGGGAAAACATTCTTCCCTGATGGACCCTGTGGGACTTAGATAAACCAAAATCCCCGACTGGGGATTCATTTTTTAAGGCTAGTTTCTTGCCTGTGTAACTCAGAACTTTAGGCTTGTGAACGGAAATACCATCAAAGCTGAACACTGGTGAAAATGCATAAATATGAGTCCAGAATATTATAATAAATACCACTGCCTCTCACACTGGCGTTACCCGCCATGTTAAGTAATGTTATAAGCTAAATGGCTACTGATACATATAGTTGAGTCATGAGATGTCATTCAAAATCAGTTGCTCTGATTCGTGTCTTGTAACTAGCTATTCTTTTTCTAGTTAGTATTAAGTGTATAAAAAATAAGAAAATTGATATAAAAAAGGTTATTACGAAAGGTTTTTCACATAAATCTCCTTTAATAAAAGCTGAATAGAAAAGAATTATTTCTAACTATATACTGCATACACGCAAACTTAACATACCTGTGCTTATTAATATATATTTTAACATATGTTCCCATGTATCATTCAAATAAAAGTTTTAAAAAATCTTTATATATATATAAGTAGTACTGAAGGCGGCTGAGCGGTGCATGCATGCGGCTGAGCTCTGTATTCCTGAGCGGTCCCTCCTGAGCAGTCTCCTTCCGCGCCCGTGCCCTCGCGCCCGCCCGCGCCTTCTGCAGCGCCTTCTGCAGCGCCTTCTGCAGCGCCTTCTGCAGCGTCGTCCGAGTCGCCCCCGCTCCCCGAATTTTTTCCCGATTTTTATCGAATTTTTTTTGAATTTCATTTTCTTGTGGTTTCCATCTCCTCGGATCAAGTTTTTGAGGTTCCCCCTCCCACTTTCACCCCCATCCCAAATTTTTTCGAATTTTTTTTTGAATTTCTTATGATCTCCATCCTTGGATCAAGTTTTCTTGTAGTCTCCAACTCCTCGGATCAACACCCTCCCCCCACCACCCACTTCTACCCCAAGTATTTCTCCTCTTCCTTGGATCAAGTTTTTTTTGGGGTTCCCCCCTCTGGGGGTAAGCATTCAAATGAACTCCCACTTGCATCTCAAATTTCCTGCTCCAATTCCTCGGATCAAGTTTTTTGGATTCATCCCTATGGGGTTTCGAAATTCTTATGATCTCATTGGATCAAGTATTTCTCCTCCATCCAAAAACTCGGATCGAGTTTTTGGATTCCCCCTCTGGGGGTAAGCATTTCAAATGAACTCCCCCTATGGGGCATGGTACTTTCTCTTACTACAGGTCTAAACATGTGTGACGTCACTCCACCTGTGTTTACTTGGCGGTCAGTGACGTCACGTAATGACCTCACACATACAGGCTGAATCTTGTCGACTTCCCCCTATGTCAGTGACGTCACGTGATGACCCCACACACAGGCTGAATCTTGTCGAGCAGACAATAAAATGCAGGATAACACTATTTATTATACAACCAATGCATTTCATATACACCTAACAAAAAAAATTCATTGAAAAACAGGTACAATTCATTGACTAAAATCAATATATTTTTCTCTTGAAGAAATTCTGTGCATTTTGTTCTGGATCTTCTTCGTCGTCACCACGTCAATATTACACATTTCATATACAACATAGGGAAAACATTACACATTTTCACTCTTAACCCAGGATAACCCAAATAATTCCACATTTTTTCGTTAATACCCACAACAATCCACAATTTCTTTACAAAAGATTCACTCTCCTCAAGTCTAGACATTTTTCTCGTTTTAACTATTTCATCAGAAAAAGTCAACACAACACTTCCAACTTATAACCACTTTTCGATAAATTCACTAGTCACAATTTTACATATTACGAAGTTAATACGCGCGCGCGCGCGCACACACACACACACACACACACACACACACACACACACACACACACACACACACACACACACACACCACTTTGAACAACAAAAACACCATCAATTACCTTTGAATACTCCAAAAACATCATTTGAACACCTTTAAAAACACCTTTGAATAGTCTCAAACACCACTTGAGTACTCCCAAATACACCACTGAATACTACTAAAACACCACTGAATACGGTCAAAACACCACCAAATCACCACTGAATACTCCCAGAACACCTTCATAAATACTCTTGCACATCATTTGAACACCTTCAAAACACCTTTGAATAGTCTCAAACACCATTTGAGTACTCCCAAATACACCACTGAATACTACCAAAACAGCACTGAATACTGCCCAAACACCACCAAAATCACCATAAACTAAGATCAACATCACAGACTAACACCCATTTTCACACAAATCCTCTCAAATCACTATAACCAAGACGATTACCAATTTCTATGAGTACACTCACCTCCAACTAAGATATAACATGAGCGCAAAAAAAAACCATGAACACAAACAAAACACACACGAACACTTACAACAGAATCACCTCTTTTTCGGTATCTCTAGTTCGACAACAGTACCCACAACCCCAACACCCACAACCCACATCACCCACAACAACAACCCACTTATAACATCTTTTTTGGTATCTCTAGTTCAACAATACCCACAACCCACAACACCCACAACCCACATCACCCACAACCCACATCACCCACAACCCACATCACCCACAACAACAACCCACTTATAACATCTTTTTTGGTATCTCTAGTTCAACAAACAATACCCACAACCCACAACACCACAACCCATAACACCCACAACCCACATCACTCACAACAACAACCCACTTATAACATCTTTTCGGTATCTCTAGTTCCGCAACAACACCCACAACCTACAACAACCACAACACCCCACAACCTACAACACCACAACACCCCACAACCCACAACACCTACAACACCCCACAACCCACAGCACCCACAACCCACACCCCACAACACCCACAACAACCCCAACTTATAACCACTTTTCAGCATCTCTAGTTCGACAACACCCACAACCACAACACTCAACCCACAACAACAACCCGCTTATAACATCTTTTTTTGGTATCTCTAGTTCGACAACAATACCCACAACCCACAACACCCACATCCCACAACACCTACAACCCACATCACCCACACCCCACAACACCCACAACAACCCACAACTTATAACCACTTTTCAGCATCTCTAGTTCGACAACAACACCCACAACCTACAACACAACCCACAACAACAACCCGCTTATAACATCTTTTTTGGTATCTCTAGTTCGACAACAATACCCACAACCCACAACACCCACAACCCACTTATAACATCTTTTCGGTATCTCTAGTTCGACAACAACCTCACAACACCCACATCCCACAACACCCACAACCCACATCACCCACACCCCACAACACCCACAACCCACATCACCCACACCCCACAACACCCACAACAACCCACAACAACTTATAACCACTTTTCATCATCTCTAGTTCGACAACAAAACCCACAACACTCAACCCACAACAACAACCCACTTATAACATCTTTTTTTGTATCTCTAGTTCGACAAACAATACCCACAACACCCACAACCCACATCACCCACAACCCACATCACCCACAACAACAACAACCCACTATAACATCTTTTCGATATCTCTAGTTCGACAACACCCACAACACCCACAACCCACAACACCCCACAACACCCACAACCCACAACACCCACAGCAACAACCCACTTATAACATCTTTTTTCGATATGTCTAGTTCGACAACAATACCCACAACCCTCATCACTTAACAATTTTTTCACAATTTTTCCTCTTTCGATACAAATTTTTCCCCTTCTTTTTATTGAATCTTAAAATGTAATACACATTCCTCCCTACATTACTAAAATTCTAAAAATCCTCTCCATACCCATCTCCTTGTATCCACATAAATTGATATTATACTCGCATCAACTAATCTCACTACCCAACTACTGCGACATGTTTCTACACCCTCCATTCTTTTCCAATATATCACTTCTATAATTTCTTTTAAAATATTCACACATTACCTTTATTTTCAGTAAAATCCCCCCCATATTTCATTAAATTTCTAATACAACCCTCCCATACCCTCTCCATCTCAACCCACATTTCTTCACATCCACTCACCCATCTTCCAACTCACTCTTCTGAACACACACAAAAATCACATTTCACATCCACAAATGCATCTCATCACCCATCTCAAATCCACTAAAATCACTGAAACCAAGATATTCACAAAACTCTATGATCACCTAACACACACACACACACACACACACACACACACACACACACAACAATATGCAGATATGTTGTGCGTGCCACTTGCCACAATCTTCAACACATCCCTGGAAACTGGGCAACTACCTGAGGTATGGAAGACGGCAAATGTAGTTCCCATTTTTAAAAAAGGAGACAGAAAAGAGGCACTAAACTATAGACCTGTGTCATTGACGTGTATAGTATGCAAAATTATGGAGAAGATTGTCAGGAGGAGAGTGGTGGAGCACCTGGAACGGAACAGGAGTATAAATGCCAACCAGCACGGATTCACGGAAGGCAAATCCTGTGTCACAAACCTTCTGGAGTTTTACGATAAAATAACAGAAGTAAGACAAGAGAGAGAGGGGTGGGTTGATTGCATCTTCTTGGACTGCAAGAAGGCCTTTTTACACAGTTCCTCACAAAGATTAGTGCAGAAGCTAGAGCATCAGGCGCATATAACAGGAAGGGCACTGCAATGGATCAGAGAATACCTGACAGGGAGGCAACAACGAGTCATGGTACGTAATGATGTATCACAGTGGGCACCTGTGACGAG